TGTGCAGAGGAAAATAAATCGTACTCTTATTTTGCTGTAGAAATAATCTTGTAAACACAAAGAGAAAGTCATTACCTAAAGTCTCAAAACATATCCTTAAACTGAGTGTATCACTGATCAAAGGGACTATTAGCCAAGCAATTGCTTTAAATATCTGAACTTCCTGATCTTACAGCAAATAATTTCAATAGAAGATGCTTTTCCATTTCATCTTGACTTTTGAATAGAAGGCCAAAAGAGAAAAAAATAACAGTGGAAAGTCAGGTTTCTTCTCTGAGTTACATATAGCATTGTTCTCTTGAAGGGAGTGAGTTGAATTAATTGAATTTTGAACATACAAATACACTCAAAGCAAACATGAAGTAATTTATTTATAAATGCATGAAGTAAGTGGTATTTTAGGTCAGGAGTATGTCACTAAACCAAAGCCCATGATAACAAGTTTGTTTTATCTTTAATCCCTTCAAGGAAGAAAATTTCAAAAACCCTCTTCCTTTGCCTCAAAAATTGGTTCAGCACCTCTCATTTTCAGTAACTTAATATATGTAGTGGTTATGCTTACAAATAAATGTCATGAAAAAGATTAAAAGAAATCTAAAAGCATTTCATGGCCTTATTTAATCCTGATTTCAACAAAATAGTTGAAAAAAATAAGTCCATGATTTGAGGCAATCATAGAAATCTGAACATAGGCTGAGTAGTAGATAATAATAATAATAAGTAGAAGTAATAATTATTCATCTTATAAGATGTGATGGTATTGTGATCATTTTTAAAGTCTTATATTTTAGAGATACAGGCCTACGTATTTATGAGAGACATGGCATATTGCCTGAGATTTGCTTTAAAACACTCCAGAAAAATTGTAGGTGGTAATAGATGACAGAAGAGTCCCAAGTTACTAATCGTTCTTGAAGCAGAATGGTAGACACCAGGTTCACTAGCTCTTCTTTCTTCCTACCTCTAGGTATATTTGCTTTCTTTAATGATAAAATATTTTAAAACGTACTGATCAGGAGTTGAGAACATGGTTCTCAACCAGGAGATTTTGCTCTCCCACTTTCCCTGGGAAAGCATTTCCCTCATTTAGTAACATCTAGAGACATTGTTAGTTGTCACATTTGGAGGTAGAATGGGTCTGGAATCTGGTGACTGGAGGCCACGGATGCTGTAAACAGCCTACAATGAACAGAACAGACCCCCAACTAAGAATGACCAGACCCCAAATATTAAGAGTGGTGATATTGAGAAACCCTGGGCTGGACCATGTCCTTTTAGGATATCCTGTTCATAAATAGATAAAATACAGTCCTTGCCCTCATGGAGTTTACAGTCTTCCATAGACAACAGGACAAGAAGACAAAAGGACCTGGCCCCCTGGCCCTGTCCTCTCACTTCTCAGAGTGGTTCGCAGGAGGAGAGTTGGAAGGCGAGAGAACTACTTTCAATTAGGAGGCGCAAAAGAAATGCTTTTTATCATTACTTATTTATAACATTCACCTACAAAAGAAAACTTTAAGAAAGGTCTTCACTGGGAAAGCAGTTTAACGTGCTGGGTTTTAGATAAGGCTTGGAAAGGAGGCGCTCCAGATGAAGAGAATAAAGAGAACAGCATGCCAAGGGGAAGGGGGGAGAGAGCGCCAGCATTTAGTGGGAACCAGGAATGGGAGGGACACATAATGGCTCAGCCCGAAACTGTGGCTAGGGGTCTCGTAAGGGGAGTCTCCAGTGCTGAGCCGAGGCGTTGGTACCTGTGCCTTCTGTGTGAAGGTGCCCTGTTCTGGTGTGTCTCTGAGCCACAGGAAAGGTCATAAATGTTCGGTTTCATCGCTGTGTGTGTAGGCGTGGCATGATCGGGTCTGGGGACTGGACTTGCATGTGACCCCAGAATTCTCCAAGCAGGAGTGACACCAGAAGCAGCTGGGTCATTTCCAGCAGGGCTCCATGATGCAAAACCATTTGGAACCAAGCTGCCTCCATTCCCTCACCTTCCTCTGGAAAAGTGTGCATAAGCATCCACTTATTTTTGGAAGTCATCCAGCCTGTGACAGGTGACCACAGGAAGAGGTTTGAGCATGCGTGTGCATGAGCAGAGGGGAGGGCCTCACTGCATGAATAGCTGTTACATGCCAGGCCCTGCTCTCAGCACCTAACATGCAGCATCACCTTTAATTCTAGAACAACCCTGAGAGGTGGGAGTACTAAGACCCATGGTCGCGATGAATGTTCCGGTGTGGTGAGAAATGTGGCTTTTCCACAGGTCCCGCAGCAACTAGGTGGTGAATATGGGATTCAGAGCCACAATGGCCGGATACTAAAAGGCCACAATGAGCCTCCCTCACCTCCACCCAATCTGTGCTTGGCCATAAGCGGAGATGCTCCATGCTGAAGGTTCTTTGCTGGCCCGCGGAGGGGGGCATCCTGGTGAAAGCCCATCAAGCTAAGACTGAGATGGACCAGGAGGGGAGGAAGAGGCACTGCAGCTTCAAGTTAGGGCTGCGGAGCAAGGGTGGGCGGCTGTCTCCCATCCGAGTGGGGGAGATGCACATCCCGGCCTGGGCTGCGTCGTCAGCGCCAGCAGCGTGCTGGTCATGGAGCTTTGAGTGGTTTATGGTACTTGAGCATTTGGCCCAAGGGAGTTACCAGGAGGTAGAGAAGGATCAGGAAAGCTGCCAAGTCCGTGTCGGAGTTCGCAAGTAGAGCCCTGGCTAAGAGCAGTTTGGGTGGTCCAGAATTGGGGCCTTCCCAAAACAAGCAGGAGACGCCTATGTTCTCAGCTAACTCCCCCTGCGGCCCTCATCTGGCACCCCAGGCCACTGCCTGGGCTTAAAGAGCTCATTAGTGCAAGGCAAAAGGAAGCTGTCCCCCGTGTGGGCAGAGTAGGGCAGCAGAGCAGGTGGTTAGATGAGAGAAGCTGGAAGCCACCCACTCTGAGGGACTCCACAGAGGCATCTAGGGGTGGGGGAGGATCCTGGAGCGGGATGCGTGCGCTCAGGGTGCTGCTGTTCCTCCACTGTGTACCTTCAGTAAATCATGAAAACCTGTATATAAATTCCAGTGCTTATGATCAAGGGCTTAGGGTGAGTCAGACCTGGGTTCAAATCCTGCCTCTGGCACTAACTAGCTGTGTGACCATGAGTACATCACTTGACTTCTCTGACCTTCATTTTCCGTATCAACAAAATGGTGACGGTCAGAGAGGTCACTATGAGGGTTAAGCAGCAAATATTCATAGAATACCTGCCCAGTGCCCAACACTGGGCAAGTATTTAATAGATGGTGGGTTTTATTGTTGCCCTCATCTTCCTCATATGGATAATGCCACAGACTCTGCTCTATCCTGGTACAAGGTTGTTAAAATGATTCAGTGAGGTCATCTACACATATGAAAGTATGATGTCGTTTGTCAAGCACCTTCCAGACAGTGCTGGTCTTCCAGGCAGGGAGACACACTGCCTCTGTTCCTTTGTCTTCTTTCCTTGGCTCAAGGACAAGCCCATTGAAATACCCACCGAGATTATTCTAGATGGTAAGCATCTGTCATCTGGGGACAATTACTGGATTGAATTTCAGGGAAGTTCTGTGCCACAGGCAGCTGACTCTGTACAGACAGACAGCAGAGAAGAAACCTTACCCACAAGAGGGGTTGGTACAAGGACCTTGAGGCCGCTTGGGGTAGGGCAATCATGACTTCATTCTTGTATTCCGTACCTGCCAGCCTGCCCTCAGCCCCCCAGCTTCCTGTCTTAAACAGAGCCTTTCTTGATACATATTTGTTGGATGAATGATTTTTTTTTACTTTTTAACAAATTGCTTAGACATCCTGGGAACTCAGACTTGGTGTTGTGTGTATAACCCTTCCGACCCCAGCCATGGGAGGCTTATCATGAATAAGTCCACAATGTCCAGCTAGTTGCCTCTTCAGATCTTTCTAAAAACCATGGTGAGAAACTCCATAGAGAAGAGACCCTGTGGATTGTTTGCTCTTCTGTGTGTCCTGTGGGGCCAGCTCCAACAGGGTTGCAGATGGCGCCTCAGAGTTTTACTCTATGACCACTAAACCCTGCGTTACCGGGCAAGGTGCCGGAATAGGGAAAAAATGGTTATGATGATCTGGATGATCTTAGCCCACTGAAAGTTTGGCTTAGGTTTGGGTCAGAGGTCAGCTCAGTGTTGGCATTCTCCCTGCCAGGTCACCCCAAGTTGGGAAGGGGGCCCTGTGGGTCTGCTTTGATACAATTTTTGTCATTCTCCTTGTCATCACCCCACTCTATGCCTTTAGAGGCTGTGGTATGAATGTTTTGCTTCTCCTGATGTTAATCTGGTTGGTCATTAGTCATTATGGTCTATTGGCTGGCACATCTGTCCTTCTGTCCCATCTGCCCAAGCCAGTACTTGTGAGTCCACCTTCCCACACATACACCTTCCTGGCTTGTCTCCTTGCTCATAGCAAGTTTAGCTACTTCATGGTTCTGAGAAAGATGCCCACGCCCAGAGGTGATAACGGAGGAAGGAAGCACTACCTCCTGAGTCGTGAAGAGCTTCCTGGTGATGCTGTAATACGGGACAGGCTTACCTTCATCTGGAAGAAAGACCAGAGAGATGAAATTAGAATGACAGCTTACTCTGACCACTGGAGCTCCCCATAAATATGATTCAGCTCTCCAGGTTGTTGGGAGCCACAGGGGCCTGGAGAGTGGGGAGGGCAGCTGGGAAGGAATTCAAATGCCCTGGTGATGAACTCTAATGCACCTGGGAGGGGTCTTCACTATAAATGGTGGTATGTTCTAAAGACCCCGGCTACCACCGCCCTTTCTGGCTTGCTTATTGCTACTGGAATACCCCCAAGCCCAACAGCACAGTGGGCTTCAATTGCTACCAGGTGCCAGACATAGTGTATTAGGAAAGAGCTGGGGCCAAACTGCATGGGTTTAAATCTGCTTATTAGCTTTGTGACTTCAGGCAAGTTACTCACCCTCTCTATGCTTTCTCATCCACAGGTGGAGGCAATAATAGAAACTACCCCACTGCGCTGGTATAAGAATCAAATTACTTAACATTGGGAAAGTGCTTATATCAGCACCTGGTATATGGTAAATGTTTGTAATATGTAATAAATATTTAGGGATCTGATATCAATCTTTCCATAGGATGTAGGGGTTGCTACTGGGCATATGGTCTGAGCTTTCGAGACGGTGGCATCAAATTTTGCCTAGAATATAGGGGCAAGAATAGCCACTTAACATCATCAGCACTAGAGAGAGAGCGCTGCCAGCCTTGGCTTCTTCTACTATAAAGTGGAAAACAATTAAGACCCTCCACATAGAAGTCTTTGGGAGAACTTAAATAAAATAATCCAAATAATGTCCCCAGCAGAGTATCTGGAAAACGTATTCAATATGTGTTTACTTATCATTACCAGTATAACTGAGACAGGCCAAGGAAGATGAGATTTGTCCACAGATATTTATCCTCTAGGGGACGTCGGCAGTATCTGGAGTCATTTTTGGTTAGCTGAGACTTTGCTACTGTGATCTAGTGAGTAGATGCCAGGGATGCTACTAAAAATCCTACAATGTGCAGTTCAGTCTCCTACAACAAAGAATTATGCAGCCCAACAGGTCAGCAGTGCCAAAGCTGACTCTTGTGAGTCTAGCTATTGCCACAGGGCACCACATCCCAGATGGCTGTGTAATCAACCTCAAAGCAGAAATAACTCCAAGTGGACTTTCCACTGGTTGCACAGAGAAAAAGAGGAGATAATAACTAGATTTGCTGAATTAACGTCAGGCTTTTCAAATGCCAGAATCAGAGCAGCCCATGAAAGCAACATTAAACCCCAAACTGTGCTGAATTCTTCAGCTGATGTTCATAGGCCTATATGATGTGGGTTCTGGTCCAATGGGCTTCTGCAGACTAAGCTCCCTGCCTCAGTTTCCATTGCTATAAATGGTCAAGGCCCCCTATGTCAGAAACTTGGAAATCATTCCCAATGCCTTGCTCTCCTTTGTCTCTGATATCTAGTCTGCCCCTAGTCTGCCCCGTCAATTTGCTGCTCTACATTTAATTCACACCATCCACTCCCCTGTCCCCACTGCCATTGGCTTAGGCTGGACTTCTGTGATCTCTCATCCTAATTACTCTACTATCCTATTTATTGAAGTTTGTTATCTTTGAAGAGCCATTGTAATGGAAAGAGTAACTAACCAAGTGCCTCTCTTGAAGCAAAAGTAGCCTTGAGGCCTGGGGAAAATACTTCCCTGCTCAGAGCTTCCCTGCTCTGAGGCTTTGCCCAGATAAGAACACGCATTTCTAATGTTTAGAGGCTTCATAGAAGTGACCAGAAGCATGCACTGCTTTTTAGTAATAATCAGTTCCCTATTTGCAATATTTCTAAAACACTATGCTATAAATAGTGGATATAGTTAGAAAAGAAAAAGAGAAAATTAAAAAATATTTCCCCTAGAAAGCAACTGATTCTGAGGTCATGTTGTACATTTATGACCCTTTCTTGCATCTTTCTGGTGTGGCCGAATGATACAGTTACAAGTTTGAGCATGTGACCTTGAAGATGGGCAACCCGAATTTAAGTCCTAGCATCCCCTCTCCAGCTGAGTGACCTTGGGCAAGTCACAGTCTCACCAACTGGTTAAGTGTGGGATAATCATGCCCACCTCATACAACTGTGGTTGATTTAAGGAGTAAATGAGATGATGAATGCGAAGTACTTACAACAGCATCTGGAGCACAGTGGGCTGCCATGGTTATTACTGTTGCATCGTCCAGAACTAATTGGACCCAAGTTATCTTTGTCATAAAGCTTCCTGAAGACAGAACTGGTTCTGCAAGTCACCCACAGTCATCAAACCCAGTGGGCAAATACAATAATTTCCATTCTCCCAGAGACTTCAATTTCCTATTGCCCTAGTCAATTAAAGGATTCATAATCCCCTCCTGCCCTTTGTGTTTAGAATTTTAAACCATGCTCCATAAATATGTTCTTTCTCCTTTTAGCCCAGCCCCTCCCAGCCAGGGCCACCCTTACATAGAACATTCCTGTCCACTTTATTGCACTTCCAATTTAACGTCTGGTTCATAACCTTGGGAATGGGGTCCTCTGCAGGGTTCTCACTATAGGTGACTCTGGGAACTGGCAGTGCAGATGAACTCCGGCATATATCCTGGTCTGAGATGTGAGCCCAACACATTTTATGTAGGGAGGTAATTCCCCCCGAGCTGCGTAGATGATGGCAAAGGTTCATGAGAAAGTGCTTCACACAGACAGGCTCAGGGGATTCCTCAACTCAGAAGAGGCAGGAGCAGAGCTCGTGAGAAATGGAAAAGCACTCAGCCCTCAGGCCCACAGCCCTGTCAGATAGAAACACCCAGCCCTGCCTTTTCTCCCAGATTACAGCCAAAAGCAGCATAGACCACAGCAAGCCCAGCATGGACAAAATAAATTGCCTCTCTCTTATGGTCCTATTGTACAGACGTCACCTCTTGGCCAGCGTGAAAATATCCATAATAATACAATTCGGGAATAAGTCATCTCATTTTCTACTGGTCTTTGTTGTTGATTCAGTGTAAGTTTTCCATTTAAAACATATACACAACTCTCCTGAAAATAATGCTCAGAGTATTTCTAAAAACGAGCTAACAATATTCCTCAATCACACATAACCCACCGAGCAAAGAAGGGAGAGGAATCAGGTTATCACTCGGACAGAGTGTAGCAGCGAAGACGCGGGTCCTGTGGGTCTCTCAGGCTTCTCCTAGTGCAATAATGAAGGCATTAAATTACCGGGTCAGAGGCCCCAATTCACAAAGAAATAATATCAGTTTATTATTTCTAATCTTATTAAGTTAGAAAATAGTCTTGAGATGTAATGTCATCCCAGAATGGCTAAAGTATTGATTATGTGAAACTGCATTCATGGATAATTCAAGGAGCCTGATTTCATTTAATTTCAGTAATCTTTAAAGCATTCCAACAAATATTCTATAAAGCAAATAATCCTAAATTATTCCCATAAATAATATAGATATATGGTCAGATTTACTTAGTATTTACCAGTACACACATTGCATTATGAGTTAGAAAAAAAGGTTTATTTTAAATCTTGTTTTCCAGTCCCCAGTGTCTTCCTCAAGGCAAATAGACCTTTAAAAAAACATATTGCAATTTAAAAAGATAAATGTGGACGTTATCAATATAAGATTTGTGACAATCCATTGATGCTGTCATTTTCCTGTAATTCTATTATATCTGAAGCTGAAGTTTCAATACTTTGTGATTTGAGATTATGACTGCAAGGAAAGGCAAATAGCCAGGCATCATAATATCGGCCCAATAGAGCACTTTTAACCCTGCCCGAGCCTCATTCTCTTGTCCTACCCACAAAGCTCTAAGTCAGTGTAGGCACAAAAAGGTGTGATCTCCCTAGCCACAAAACACATTCTCCCCATAAAATCTAGGAAAGTGTTCAGTGGCCCCAGCCTCAGGTGAGAAGGAAAACCTAACAACTTGTGCCAACATCTTAATCTCAACTCTTAATGAACACCTATGAGGTGCCAATGCAGGTTAAGCTCTGAGGAATACGAGACAAAGCAAATTTATATTGCCTTCCTTCAAGAAGTTTCCAATTTGATGTTTGTCAGGATAGTGAGCGGCTCAACAAAGTGATGTCCAGGGTGGCTTGGGGCCTTTTGTTCCTGAGTGGGGATTGCCAGGCTGAAAGTTACCGCCTCTATTGCCACTGGCACTGCCAGCAATACCGTGAATTTACACCACATTTACAGCGCTGCTGGCAGTGCCGTTCTCTTTCACAAGGGCGTGAGCTCCTTCATTCACCAGGCAGCTGGTCAATGCCAGCTCTGTGCCAGGTACGACTCTGGGCATTAGAAATGCAGCATTCAGTGAGTTTCCAGATTGGGGCTTCGAGGGGCTTACAGTCTAGTGAAGGATACAGGCGAGTTCATGAAAACTGTTCCTCATGACACACTGCGTGAGACTAGATACTTGGGACTGCAGGGTCAGGAAGCCCATCTGGCGGAGGTGACATCTAAGCAGAGTCTCCAAACACCACATCAAAAAGGAGACAGAAGGGGGTTTGGCCTTCTTGACAGGGAGGGACGGCATGTGCAATGGGCCAGAGACGCAAGAGAGTGACATGACAGGCAAGTCCCCAGTGGTGTCAGGAATACCAGTGCAAGCAGGTCAGAGAGGAGCATGGGTCCGGATCCTGAAAGCCCCATGTTTGCCAGCTGGGCCATGGAGTTGACCAGGTTGTGGTGTCAGCACTGTCCCCTCCTCAGGGTGCCCTCCTCGCTCTGTGCCCCACCCCTGAAGTGTCCAGGGGACAGACTCTCCTTTGTCTCTCGCTTACATCCTCCCAGGCTGTTAATTAGTCTTTTCCCATTTCTGTTCCCAAGATTTTGCGTGCAATAGGCAAAGTGCCTTCATACAATTAATGAGCCTGGAGTTACCGATCCAAACCTGAGACTCACGCCCTCAAAGAATGTTTCCTCTCAGGATATTTATTAGCTCAGAAGACATGTGTGGGCAGAGCATGTTATTTAGTGACCTGTAATGCCTGAATAATGATCACAATAAATCAGACCTCATTATTATGTGCGGGAGAGCCGGACGGCCCAACTGGCTAGGTAATGAGGTCTAATTTAATGCCCTTGTACTAGTCTCCACATGTTTGCTGGGAAGTTAGGGGTGGGGGCCGGGCTCATAGATCCAGATGTCCTGGATGTGCGGTGAGTACGTAGGGAGGCTAGTAGCCCAAGCGTATGTCAGGAGGTGGGAAAAGGGTGAGACCTGCAAAGCTCTGGTTCCTCTGAGGGGGTTACAACCAAGGGTCGTTTTCTTGGCTTAAATAGAAGAGCTAACAGACAAAGCTGGTTAGAACCAACAGCAGAGCACCCTGGGATCTTCTCCCTAGGAGTAAAAGTCGAGTCACGAAGGCAGGTGACCCCAGCACAGATAGAGAAAGCAGAATCTCAGTGAAAAGAAA